AAATGTGGTTAGTTATCCTTGAGAAGAAAAATGTATATAATTGTAGTTATGAAACAGAAAAAAATTAGACAACAAAGAAGTGAAGTGCAGTGAATTAATCTTGAGAGTAAAAGCATATATAATTGTAGATATGAGACAGAGAAATATTAGCCAGATGATAAAGAAGTGAGTGAGTAAACCATTGAGAGTAATGTATAAACTGGAGACATGAAACAAAGAAATTATTAGCCAGATGATTGAATATTCACTTGGGTGTAGTCTAATAGCCAGGAGAGCTGGAGAAAAGCAGAAGCAAGTACAGAAGGTTTAGACTTTGTAGATTTTGTAAGGACCCTTCCCTCTCGAAGAAGTCACTGCCACAGCTGCCTCAGAGCTATGCCAGGGCTTGGGGAAGTGAAGGTGGGGCCCCACAAATGTGGTAGGTCAGCAGGACCTGTGGGTGACAAGAACTCAGAGTTGCTACTATGGTAGCCTTTGACTTTTCAAGCACCTGCAGCCACAGATGACCTGCAGCAGGCAAGCCCAAGCCCAGAGGACAAAGACAAGGCAAGGCCTCCAGATGGCCCAGTCCCTGGTAGGAAGGCCAAGCCTAGACATCCACAGCCTTGGGAGGGGTTGGCATGGCTGACGCCCAGCCAAGTGTATGGAAAAATTAATGCAGCCAGTCAGAAACTGTTTTAAGGCCTTATAGAAAGAAAGGTTACATAAATGATTTTATTCAAATTGGTTCAGATTTTGGATGCTCATAATTCAAGGATTACCTATAGTTGCTGCATTACAAGAGATTTCATGACCTGGGAGCCCAAAGATCCAGTATGGGTGGTTCAATAGCCTTTAGCAGAGGAGATACAGAAATCCCATTTTTGTGGTTAAAAAAAGAAATCTAGAGAATGGAGGTTAATATAAGATTTGAGAATAGTTTTTGAGATGCCTCGGGAGCTGCCACCCTGTTAGGCCCCACCTAGAAAGGTGTCAGTGAAGATGCAAATGAGATCATGTCAGCTAATGAAAGCTTTAAAGGTTGGATTAGAAAAAAGACTACTCACAAACTTCATGATTTTCAAAAGTTTTTGGGACATATGTTATATACTAAAGAAATTAAGCCTCAAAAATTGGAAATTAGGAATGATTTCCAGAAGTTGTTGGGAAATATTCAGTGGTTACTACCTTTTTTAAAAAGGCATCTACTGGTGATTTGAAACGCTTAAGCGATATTCTAAAAGGAGATAGTGATCCCAATTCACCTAGACAGCTAACTAAAGAAGGTAGGCATGTTCTCCTATAGTTGGAGAATTTGACTCAACATCAGCAAATATATTGACTGTCAAAACCATGGCACACTTATATATGTCCCATGCATCATAGTCCTACTTCTGTCTTATGGCAAGGGGGAACAGTATTGTGGTTGCACTAGCTATGACCTCATCTCAGGAAAAAAACAGAGCTTTCTAATCATTCACATCATTCACATAAGTACAAATAGTAAAAACTTTCCCATCAATAAAATTTCATTGCTATACATGTGTCATTGAAAGTGGGCGTAAGTGTCTAGTAATGAAAGCTTTTAATAAGCAAGAGTTAAGATAGTTAAAAATAGCTCAATACTTCAAAATCTCACAAGAACCTCACAAGGTAATAGATGCTAAACAATAACTGACCATAAAGATATATTAATTTCTGCCTGGCATTGGTGGTGCATGCCTTTAATCCCAGCACTAGGGAGGCAGAGGCAGGTGGATCTCTGTGAGTTCGAGGGGAGCCTGTTCTCCAGAGCGAGTGCCAGGATAGGCTCCAAAGCTACACAGAAAAACCCTGTTTTAAAAAAAAAAAAAAAAAAAAAAAAGAGCTCATTCAAACCTTCCCGGCCTGCTGACTGAAGGTAGTAAGTTAGCTGATAGATTAATGATGGTTGCTTTATCCCAGGTAGAATTGGCTCAGTAGTCACATACTTTCATCATCAGAATAACAGAAGTCTAAGAAAGCAATTCTGTTTAACTAGAGAGACTTCTTGCCAAATTGTCAAACAGTGTGATGTATTTACCTGTAACTAATTCAGAAGTAAATCCATGAGGCCTGCTTCCTAATCATTTATGGCAAATGGATGTTACTCACATTGCACAGTTGGGCAAATTAAAATATGTGCATGTAGCAGTTGATACATACTCAGGCTTCTTAATGGACACTGCACAAACTGGAGAAGTCACTAGGCATGTGATAATGATAAACACCCGTTTGTCTGACCTTGTCCTAGTCACTAGAAGTCAGATGCCTGCCTAATGGCAAGGAACCAATCAGAAGTTAGCTGGTGGCACTATGCTTTCTGGCTCTGGGTGTGCTTTACGGACTAGTGCACAGCAATGACTCACAGAGCATAGAAACCACCTTGGGAGGGCCTATGGGCCATAACAACCAATTGGCCAATCAACACAGGGCAAGCCCTCCAAGCCTGGAGGCACACCAATCGTGAGCCTGTGCGTACCCCTAGACACTCCCCTTACGTTGCCCTACAAGATCTCTCTCTGCAGCCGGTTCGAGCTGTCTTTGGCGAGCCATCTGCCATGGCGGGCGGGTGAAAGACCCGAGCTAACATGGGGTTAGCTCATTAAACAACAATAAAGCCTTATGCAGTTTGCAGCAAGTTTTCGAATCTGCCTGGTGATTGGGGTGACCGTGGTTGTGGGCTGGGACCCTGGAGGCCTGAGTTTTCCGGGGGGTCTAACAATAAGTCACTGTTTAAAATGTTTTGTTTATGTGGGAATTCCACATAAAAAAGTGATAAAAACAGACAATGGATCTTGTTATACTAGTAAAGCATTTCAGAAATTTTGCTCCCAGTGGAATATTGAACACAAAACAGGTATCCCCTATACTCTTCAAAGACAAGGAACTGTGGAGTGTCCTCGTAGCTCCTTGAAAACACAACTTCAAAATATAAGTAAAGGGGAGTTTACCCCTAGTTGCCATATAATGCATTAAATCATGCACTCTTCATTTTAAATTTTCTGAATGTGGATGCCTGTGAGCAATCTGCCACAGACAGATGATGGCATGATGGAACTCAAGTGACTTTCGCTCAAGCCAAATGGAAAGATCCTTGCACTGGGTTACAGAAAAGGACCCGACCCTGTTTTAATATGGGGTCGAGGGCATGTTTGTGTTTCTCAAAAGAAGAAAACGATGCTCGATGTCTGCCATAATGCCTGGTGAGGTGTATGGAGCAGAGGAATGTCAGACCTGTGACTACGGGAGCCCACCCAAGCGAATTACAGTGACATCTGCTGAAGCTGTTTCTGACCCTCTGATGTCATCAATTCTACAATCCGAGAAGGAAAGGAGACTGTTGGTGGGAGATTCCCAGTTTCTCAACAAGCCTGCTGCTTCAACTTCCCAAATCTGTTAGTTTTCATCCTGGAGCCAACCAAGGTCTGAATGTCTAGCAGTTATCCACACCACACCTTGAAACACAGAACTTATTTTTTGGCAGTTTTCCCCTTTGGGGGGAAAAGAACTCATTTAGAACAATTGAACACTACAATGAAGGTGATGTGTGGCTAAAGGCCCTCTGCAGTATTTGAACAGGACATGGACAAAGGTTTTGTAGTTAATATTTAGTACTCAAGGACTGTGGTATTTCAAACTTATTTTTGGAAATTACAAGTAGCAATGCATTGGACTTTAAGAGAGGGAAAAAGAAAAGGTTCAGAATTGTGGAGTTATTCATACCTTACCCACCATGACATTTTATTGTCCTTTGATTGAATTAAAATGATGAGAATTGTAACCCAGCCAATTGTATGTCTGTTGTTATTAATCATACTGGAATCATTAATGTTTGCAACCTTTGCTGTGCTATGTGTTTATGGGTGTAAAATGTCAGAGCTCACTCCAACAGGAATTTTACGTGAAGCTTATGAGTCTTTGGATACAATATAATTTAAAAGGCAGATTTAGATTTTGATACAGCTAAAGCCACTTAGGACATCCCAATTTTAAATCTTGATTGATCCTCTCCTCTTGCAGGAGATGCTGTAGCCATAAAAGTATATTCATTGCTTAGCATTGTCAAGCTTGCTTGTGAACTCTCAATGAGAAGTTGGCCCAGGGGTACGTGGCATTGAGTTATGCACTATCCCCTAACATTTTTATTTACAGAGGTGGTCAAAGATGGGAAAGATCCTTTTGCATCCAGGCGACCTAAGACAGGTCACACATGACAGAATGTGTGTTCCGATGACGGGTTAAGGCTGGAAGGTGGAAGAAGACAACTTAAGACAGACACAGTAATCTGTCCTATAGCAGAAGCGCAGGTATTATTGAACAGAGGAGGAGAAATTTGTCAGTGATCATAAGATGGCTCTACTCCATCTTGGCTCAAGGGCAGAAAGTTCAAAACTGTCCTCAGTAGGTCATAAGACCTAAAGATCATAGGCATGGCTACAGTAGGATGTTCGATCTTGGCCTTGGCTGTCTTATTTTAAATAACAACAGATCTGGTCTGAGGTGTGGTTATTCCTGACCCTCAAGGCCAGATAATGAGAAGTTGAATCTAAGTCGTGGTTACTGAATCCTTGGAGAAAAGAGGAAGAAAAGTCTGTTTGTTATGCATACATGACACCATGTTCCCCGTTTTGGTTAAGGTATATAAGAGTGTTGAAAATAAAGTGGCAATTCAGTATTAACTGAATCTGCTCTCTTGACATCTATTCTGTGTCTTCATCTTTTCCTTTAACTCCTTTAACTAGCCTTTCTTTAGTCTACACTTCCCCTCTCAAGTACGAACCTTGGGCTGCTCAGTTGTCTCTGAATGCAGCCCCACAAACACAACTTCCGACAATATATATAAAGAACTGAAACTTCCATGATTAATGTTTGAAGAAGTAGCCAGTTAACCAAATCCATCCTATCTACTGAATGAGTGTGGCTTGTGTCCCTGCTTCAATATGGTTCTATTTCCATGAAAACAGGAATTGTGTTGTTATACAAAAACCACAGTTCTCACCTGAAAGGGAATGAGACATTGTTTATTTTGGAACCATATATGAATGACATGTGTTATGTTATCTATCTCTAGACACAAACAAATGCCTAGTTACTACAAAGGGGCCCAACAAGAAACCATTCTAGGATGTCACCACAGTCCAAATTGATGAGAAAAGTGAATTTATTGGGTTTTCTTACAGACCAAAGGGGAAGGGTTACTTACAATTGGGGGACCCAAAAGGGGAAACCGCATATAGATCATGGCTCGGGAATCCAGATTCAGGTTACCCAAGTACAGTCTGACAACATGGCAACAATTTCTGGATGCATTCATAGTTAGAACAATCAACTGATATACCTTGAAAACACATTGTCTAAAAGAATAGGTTTGTAGATTACAGCAAAGGGAGTCTCTGCTATAGGACTCAGATGTTCTCAGCTGAGGTTAGGGGTCTGATTCTACACTCTAAAAGACATTGTGACATTCTCTCCAGTATGAAGACTGATGATAACCAAGGTATAAAGAAACTGAAAAGCCTTTGCATGTCCATGCTGTCTGACTTTGATGTCTGTTGCTGTGATAAATGCCATAACTAAAAACACAACTTAGGAGAGAAAAGGGTTTACTCCAATTTAGGAATTAATCAAGCAGTTCAGCCAGGGCAAGAGCTCAAGGAGAAACCTTGAGACAGGAACTAAAGAAGAAACCATTGAAGAATTCTGCTTATTGGCTTGCTCCCTCGGATTTCTGCTTGGCCAGAATTCTCATTCACCCAGGACCACCTACCCAAGGGTGGGACTGGGAATTAATCAGCATCCATCCAACATCCCATAGACGCATCTCTAAGCCAGTCAGATCTAGGTAACCACACAGCTGAGATTCCTTTAGAAAATGCAGAGGTGTGAAGTTGAACAGTGATGCTTACGGAATTCTTTGGTGTTGACTAATATTTGAAATATTATTAAAATGTGACACATTATTTTTATGTGCAGATTCTCTCCAGTATGAAGTCTCTGAGGATAATTAAAGTAAGAAAAACAGCTAAAGGCCTTGCCATATTCTTTGCATTTCTGGGGTACTCTTTCATGCTTATGCAATGACAAATTACAGCTAAACACCTGGCTATATTCTGCACACTTGTAGATTCTCCCACTTGTGAATTCTGTGACATTCATCATAGAGCTGAATGATATGAAACCTTCATAATATACTTTACTGTTGTAAGGTTTCTCTTCAGTACCAATACCTTTAAAAGTCTTGTCAATTTGTTCATATCTGTAGTGTTTCTTCCCAGTATAAATTTTATGGCAGTTACAAAGTGTTGAATTATTAGTAAAGCCCTTGCCACATTCTTCACAAGGGCTTGGCTTCTCTCTACGATGGATTCATTTGAGTTTGATAAGACTGAATGATAAAAGCTTTAAAACATCCCTCACACTTGTAGGGTCTCTCTTCCGAATGAATTCTGTGATATTTTTTAAAGATTGAAGAGTAAAAACTTTTCCAGCATTTTCCCATGAATAGTGTTTCTGAATAGAATGAACTCCCTTGTGCTGGGTAAGATTAAAAAGTTTAGTAGAAGCTTTTCCACACTTGTGGACTTTCTCACCAGTATGATTCTTTTGATGTCCAGAAAGTTCTAAGTGAGCACAAAAGACTTTCCTACAGTCCTCACACCTGTGTGATTTCTCTCCAGCATGAGTTAGCTGGTGTTCCTTTAGGTTTGGAGGACAGAACACATTTTTGCCACATTCCTCACATGGGTAAGATTTCTTTCCAGGAATTTGCCCTGAGGTAAGGATGGATAAGTTAAAAGCTTTCCCACATCCTTCACACCTGCAGGGTTTTATCCAGAATGAATACTCAGGTGTGTTGCAAGTTCTAAGTGAGCACTAAAGACTTTGCCACACACTTCACACTTGTAGGGATTCTCTTGAGAATGAATTCTTTGATGTTCCTTAAGGCGAGAAGGGTAGTAAAACATTTTGCCACACTTCTCACACTTGTAAGGTCTGTCTCCAGAGTGAACTACCTTGTGCTGAGAAAGGTATGAATGAGTAGAGAAGGTCTTCCCACATTGCTCACACTTGTAAGGTTTCTCTCCAGTATGTATTCGCTGGTGTCTAGAACGTCCTGAGCGAGTGTAGAAGTCTTTGCCACATTCTTCACACCTGTATGGTTTCTTTCCAGAATGGATTGCTTGGTGTTCCCTAAGGATTGAAGGATAGTAAAAGGTTTTGCCACATTCCTCACATTTGTAAGGTTTCTCCCCAGTGTGACCTAATTTGTGCTGAGTAAGGTATGAGAGAGTATAAAAGGCTTTGCCACATATTTCACACTTGTAAGGGTTCTCTTGAGAGTGAATTTTTTGATGTTCCTTAAGGCGAGAAGGATAGTAAAACGTTTTTCCACATTCTTCACACTTGTAGGGTTTCTCTCCCGTATGAAATCTCTGGTGTTTAGAAAGTCCTTTGGGAGTACAAAAGACATTGCCACATATTTCACACTTGTAAGGGTTCTCTTGAGAGTGAATTCTTTGATGTTCCTTAAGGCGAGAAGGGTAGTAAAACTTTTTGCCACATTCCTCACACTTGTAAGGTTTCTCTCCAGAGTGGACTACCTTGTGCTGAGAAAGATATGAATGAGTAGAGAAGACCTTCCCACATTCTTCACACTTGTGGGGTTTCTCTCCAGTATGAATTCTTTGGTGTCTGGAACGTCCTGAGCGAGTGCAGAAGTCTTTGCCACATTTTTCACACCTGTATGGTTTCTTTCCAGAATGGATTGCTTGGTGTTCCCTAAGGATTGAAGGATAGTAAAAGGTTTTGCCACATTCCTCACATTTGTAAGGTTTCTCCCCAGTGTGACCTAATTTGTGCTGAGTAAAGTATGAGAGAGTATAAAAGGCTTTGCCACATATTTCACACTTGTAAGGGTTCTCTTGAGAGTGAATCCTTTGATGTTCCTTAAGGCGAGAAGGGTAGTAAAACTTTTTGCCACATTCCTCACACTTGTAGGGTTTATGGCCGGTGTGAACTATCTTGTGATGAGAAAGGTATGAATGAGTAGAGAAGGCCTTCCCACATTGCTCACACTTGTAAGGTTTCTCTCCAGTATGTATTCGCTGGTGTCTGGAACGTCCTGAGCGAGTGCAGAAGTCTTTGCCACATTCTTCACACCTGTATGGTTTCTGTCCAGAATGGATTGCTTGGTGTTCCTTAAGAACTGAAGGATAGTAAAAGGTTTTGCCACATTCCTCACATTTGTAAGGTTTCTCCCCAGTGTGACCTAATTTGTGCTGAGTAAGGTATGAGAGAGTATAAAAGGCTTTGCCACATTCTTCACACTTGTAAGGTTTCTCTCCAGAATGGATTCTCAGGTGTTTAGAAAGTTGCCAGCAAGTTCTAAAGACCTTGCCACATACTTCACACTTGTAAGGTTTCTCTTGAGAATGAGTTATTTGATGTTGCTTAAGGTTTGAAGAACAGTAAAACATTTTGCCGCATTCTTCACATTGGTAAGGTTTCTCTCTAGTATGACCTATCTTATGTTGGATCAGGGAGAGATGACTAGGGAAGGCTTTCCCACATTCTTCACACTTGTAGGATTTCACTTCACAATGAATTTTCAGGTGGTTAGATACTGAATGAAGTGCACAAAAGGCATCACCACATTCTTCACACTTGTAGGCTTCATCTCCTGGATGAACTCCTGGGTGTTCAGAAAGCACTGAGCAAGCACTAAAGGCCTTAACACATTCTTCATACTGGTAGGGATTCTCTTCAGTACAAAATGTCTGGTCTTGAGAAAGTTCTATGGGAGAACAAAAGACCTCACTACATACTTCAATCTTAAAAGAATTCTCTTGAGAATGAATTATTTGATGTTCTGTAAGGTCAGAAGGACAATAAAACAGTTTCCCACATTCTTCGCAGTTATAGAATTTCTGTTCAGTGTGTTCTACCTCATGCTGTGTAAGACATGAATGAGTAGAAAAGGCTTTTCCATATTCTTCATACTTGTAGGTGTTCTCGCCAATGCAAATTTCCTGGTAGCTAGAATGTCCTAAGCAAGTGCAAACGACTTTGCCACATTCTTCACACTTGTAGGCTTTCTCTCCTGTATCAATTATCTGCTGTTCAGAAAGTACTGAACAAGAACCAGAAGTCTTCCCACATTCTTCACACATGTAGGCTTTCTCTTCTGAATGAATTCTCTGGTTTTCAAGGAGTGAGTTCCAATCACAGGCTTTGCCACATTCCTTACATTTATACGGCTTTATATCTGGTGAGTAAAAGTTGAGATATGAATAAAAACTGAGTAACATTTTTATATTTACAATGCTTAGCTTTAATAGAGAGACCTCTACTCACATTTTTATAGGTAAATGCAGTAATGGAAAATGCAGTAATGGAAACAATATATATATATTTCCATTGGAATAAGAAGAATAAGAGGAAGACCAAATAGAAAACAGAAATAATGGAATACTATTAACAGTTAAATAGCAAAGAAAGGCATACTATCAATAATAATGGGATCTCTGAAGGGTATTATGTTAACAGAACTGAACCCATTAAACATATATAAATTATATAACCAAACATAGATGAAAAACATAAATAACTAAATGTGGAAAACATTACAATAACAGTGATTGTCTAAGGTTGGAAGAATGTAGAAATACACAATTTGCATCCTATAGTTTTAATTTGGAAGGCACAAAATACATACTGCGTAACAATTAGATTCTCCCTAATACTAAGTATGATATTTCAGGGTGTTCAGTCAGGAATCTATATGTTGTATTTTTCTCAAGCAAGTAAGTATCTGAAAGAATCAAATTATGAAAAGAGAAAAATCCTGCTGGGCATTGGTGGCACACGCCTTTAGTCCCAGCACTCTTGGGAGGCAGAGGCAGGCGGATCTCTGTGAGTTCGAGGCCAGCCTGGTCTCCAGAGTGGGTGCCAGGACAGGCTCCAAAGCTACACAGAGAAACCCTGTCTCGGAAAAAAAAAAAAAAAAAAGAAAGAAAGAAAAAAAAAAAAAAAAAAAAAAAAAAAAAAAAAAAAAAAAGAAAAATCCTCAAGTTCACCTATAATGATAGAACCTGCTAGAGGCACATATTAGTCAAAGGCTAACTGATAAAATTAGCCCACTTTCTAAGAATATTCATTTACAAGATAACACAATCTTACAATAATCAGAGAAGGAATGATGTACAAGGCATGAAAACATGAGACTCGTACACCAAAGTGGAAACACACAGCTCTGATGTTCACAGAACCAAAGCTCACTGATTTTTTTTCAGAGCTCACCAATTTTTTATCTTACACTGTCCTATTAAAGTGTTTAGTATTGCATACTCCATCCACAAAAAAACATATAACTTATATGTAAGCAAATGATTTTAGACAACCCCAGACTTCAATAATATAGAAAATAAAGTTGTAAAATAAGAAAAAGAATCTTGAACCTATTAGATTCCGAAAAACAATTGATAAGCTTTTAAAAATATTCTAGACATGTAAGGTTTTAATCTTTGAAAACATATCCACAAATGACATGTATTTTAAATCAGTAACACTTGAGTGTATGAAGAGAAAAAACTTTATGAGAATACATTACAATCATTCATAACAATTATAAAAAGATTTAAATTACCATACATGTAAATGATGTGAAAGAAGTTTATTGTGATTATATTGTATTATAATGGCTTCATAGTTTTTAAACATGTGCAAATTTTCATAGGTTAAAAGTCTGTTGCAATGCAGACTCTCAGCAAAATGACAAACTTTTTTCGTTAGTGTAAACACAAGTAGAGCTCTGGGGGAGGGGGGCAACAAAGCTTAGACACTTAGAGCATCATATAGTAGATGAATGAATGGGGATACCAAAAAATTGATTTCCATCACAACATAACATCTCAGTGCATACGGTAAGGCCTGGCTTTCTGTTGGAAAGCCCACTCTGTCCTCTGACCCCTCATTCCTACACACCTGGGTGCATGGTGGCAGCATCTTGTGTCTTCACATCTGAAGGCTCTTGTCTCTGCTCTAGAAATGTGACCAGGTATGGCTTAGAGAAAGCAAGTCCTGTTTGTAGGAAAAGAAACAAGATGTTTTGTGTGTTATTCACCTGGGAAATAACATGTCTATTCCAGGATCGTGCTCTTAGGGAAAACAAAGGATATATTCAGCTTCATTTCCTTCATTTGGAAAAAAAAATAAAACTTAAGGTTATGCCTCATGTCTATGAATTTCTAGCATTACCACCAGAGTAAAGGATACTTTTAAGACACAGCCAGGTTAAAAAAACAAGAAGAAATAAAATAAATTATCTTAGTTACATTAATAATCTCCTTAACTCTTCCTTAGATGAAGGCCCCATGAGCCTCATTGTTGGAAAGTACAAGTTCCCTTGAGATGTTTTATAAAAGCAACTTAATGCTGACTATGCATTAAGAATTCAATATGAGCCAGGCAGGGTGGCAGTACTTGGGATGTACAGGCAGGAGAACTCTGTATTCAAGGTCAATTTGGTCTGCACAGAGTTCCAGGAAGCCAGGACTACATAGAGAGACCCTGGTTCAAAATACCAAACAAACAAACCCATATACATACACAAAAAAAGAATTTACTATAGATGCAATCCTCACCCAGGAATACAAGGTTGCTGTAATTCTCCAACATCACATCCCTGTACAGATTCCACTGAGCAGGGCCCAGGCATTCCCACTCCTCTGCAGAGAAATCAATGGCCACATCCCTGAATGACAGCATTTCCTGAAATAAAGAATAATGAATAATAGATTATGTTAATTAAAATCAATAACATAGATCCCAATAGGCATCCTGCGCTTATGAATACATTCTTAGGAAGTATAGCAATAACAATACTTTGTTAATATTTAAAACAATTAGATATCACCAACATTCTTTCATATCCCCCTTTCCTGCTGTCTGTGTTTATCTTTATCAAACATGTATCCATGTACTTACTATATTCATAAGCAGTCGTTTAACTTATGACATTAGCTTAGTGTGCGGAATTCAAGAGATACAATTTGTTATTCTAATTACTATTTTCCCTTATTTTTATTTTTATTTATTTTTTTTTACATTTTAATGTTTTATTCCTTTCCATCTCATTGCATGAAGTTCTCAAATGGTCAATGACAGCTGTACATTAATATTTCTTTTTATGGCTAAATAATAGAAAATCAGAGATTTGCATTTTAAAGGGAGTATTTTGTAACTTTATATCAGTTATAGAGTGGTCATTTCCTCCAACACTTAATTTTTAAGTTAAAATGTCCAAAGTCCTTAGGCCAGGTGTGGTGGTGGGTGCCTTTAATCCCAGCACTTGAGAGGCAGAGGCAAGTAGATCTCTGTGAGTTCTAGGCAGCCAAGGATATATAGAGAGACCCTGTCTCAAAAAAAAAAAAATAGAACAAAACAAAACAAATTTAAAAAACACCCTGTTTTCTAGTCTTCTGTAATAAAATTACAAAATGGTTACTTACAGTCACCATTCTGGGTAACATTTCCCATAAACTTCTTTCTTATATCCAACTGTATAAGAATCTGACTGATCCCTGTTTCCCAAAGCCTAGCTTTCCTGATGTCACTGATGAGAAAAGCCATTATTTCTCCAACTTCTGTAAGTTAAAATTCCTTAAACTTAACCTTTGTCTGAGATCATGTGGTACTTGTGTTCCCATATCTGAAATAATACACACTCTTCCATATTGACCCAAATTACAGGATTTCATTGTTTTGTGTGACTGAACAGTTTCACACTGTAAACATGTGCACCACAGTCTCACTGACAAAAAAGCAAGTAAATTATAGAACTTAGTTTTCAGCCATGTTTGAGTGACTTCGAAATTATAGAAAAAGGAATATAAAGTAAAATTCAATATTCGTGCTAAAAGAATATTGAGATCAGCTTTGTAATAAAACCAGCACAGGAAACTGTTATGGGGTCAGAAAAACAAACCTAGAAATAATATTTATGCTTGCTTGCTGCAGCATTAGTAAAAGCAGGAAGTAACCTTAGCATCCAGAAGTGTGGCAGCCCTGACAAGAGAAAAATGTACAGCTGTGTAGAGGCTGCATCATATGAGGACGGTACTTTTGCTCATTTTAATGATACCAGTGAGATGTGCACTTAAGAACAAGAATGAGATAGTTATTGATTCCTGTATTACTTCTACTTACTTATGATTGCTTTTGAGCTTCACTTTACAATTTTGTTAATTTGAAAACTTTCTGTTCATCATTTCCCTCTACTGCATGGATTCCATGTATGAAGCCAACTTAATTTTTCAGGAAAAGCCATTTTGCTCTGCTTGCCACACACTGCTCATGTGTGGACCAGCAAGGCATGGTTTGGAGGATAGCCTCCAATTTCCTGGTTCCTTTCTCAGGTGGTGAATAGAAAGGCATTCAATTTCTTATAACACAGTTGAAGGTCCTATAAATTCAAGCTCAAGATCACTCAAGGTCACTGTTATTCCCAAAGGCCAAATATCAGTAAGCATTATAAAACATACAAATTGGAAATATGAATCAGATAAAGGAAAAACAAAACATTCCAAAGATGCCATGAACACCCTACTTGTGTTAATGATCTAAAGGAGAATTCAGAGAACTAACAAAAAGGTAGATAATATCTGCATGCACAGAAAAATAGGAAATCATGCAATAAAATATGAAATGCACAAGGACAGAGCTGCAAATGCCATATCAAGTGGCAAACAGTAAGGAGAGAACACTAGAAAGGGTCTGACAGGAAGGAAGCCTCAGGAAACAGGAAGCCTGTCAGAGGTTAAAGAGCATGAAGAAAAGACATGAACAATACTGCAGGCCTGTGGGATGACTCAACAGGTAAAAGCACCTGAAGCCCAGCCTAAGGACCTGGTACCATGGTTCAACAGTTCTTGAATTCCCTCCAGCTTAGGCACAGCATGGCATGTGCTCCTAAACAGACACACGGACACAATGAGGAAAGAAAAAGAAAACATAGGCAGGAAAAAGAAAAGAAAAGAAAAGAAAAACCAGCCTGAGGAGACTGTAAAGGATTTATGGACCACTAGAAAGAGAATAAAGGAAAAGGGGGAAACCAGAATGATGCCACATGACTGTCATCTTAGTTCTTGGATGGCGTAGGTGTTCAAGGCCAGCATCATCTACACAGGGAGTTCATGGCTAGCTTGTGATATGTGAATGTGTCCCTTATAAAAAACCAAAAACGCAGAAAAGAGAAAAATATTTTTTGAGAGATGAGATTTTTAAGCTAACATTATGTGAGATAAGTGATGGACGCCAACTAAGACTCCCACCCAACTCCAGTCTAGATACCACTGAAGAATGCCAGAAGGCTACGCAGGTGGTGTAAGCAACAATTCTGACAGGAAAGTGAAACACTGGCTCCTCACCCTGAAGGTGCTTCAGTCAAGTCCTCACTAGATTATCTCAGCAGAATCAGCAGCTGGGAAGCTGACACCTCGCACAAGGTGCATGGAAAAGAACTGCATGAATACATAAACAAAGCTTCTTGGCTAACAGACCAGGGGAACAGAGAAGGTCAAAAAAGGACTGTCCCAGTTGGGGAGCTGCAGGGAAGAGAAACCTATCCATGGGAAACAGTCTTCTAGCAAAAGAGCAGAGGGGAACAGCAATGAGGAGGCCAACAGACCCCTAAGTCACAAACAGAATGATGAAAGATAACCAGTTGATTGAAAAGCCAGTCTTTTTCTTTTCTTTATCTTTTTCTTTCTTTCTTTCTTTCTTTCTTTCTTTCTTCCTTTCTTTTTTTTTTTTTTTTTTGAGACAAGGTCTCACTATGTAGTTCTCCATGACCTAGAACTCATTATGTAGATGAGGCTGGCCTTAAACTCACAGAAATCCCCCTGCCTCTACCTCCCCAGCACTGGGATTAAAGGTATGTGTCACCTAACCCAGTCATTAAGAAAACAAAATGACACTCTTTGAAAGCATCTCCACAAGAGATGAGAAACTCATCCTCCACTGTTCTTTACTTCTGGGATGGTCACCAGCCAGAAGGTGAATTTAATTTTCCTTCTTTTGAATGGAGGCTGGCCCTAAACACATGCCTAGATCAATAGAATAGAATAGAAGAAGAAGACATAAGAACTTTTGCATGTCGTGTGTGTGTGTGTGTGTGTGTGTGTGTGTGTGTGTGTGTGTGTGTGTGTGTGTGTGTGTGTGTGTGTCCCTCAGAGTTATTTTGACATGGAAACCTAGCAATCTTCAGTACCAGGAGCTTATGGGTAAGTCAAAGCTAGATGCAAAGAGAGGGCTGGATTCCTAATTAACTTCTAGCTACTAGTGATTCCATTTTTGGACATAGAATGTCTATGTGTTAGAGAACATGCTAGGTTTAAAACACACCTGGAGTATGATAAAGTAGCCAACCCACAGATCTCTGGCCCAGCTCTTGACCCACATGCATTTGGCATTCAGGTATCATTAATTCTTGTTAATTAATTTTTACAATACTACAACTCAGAGCGTATGTTTGAAACACTGAAAATAGTATGGGAGACCACAGCCAATGTCTTTATTTGAAACATGGAATGCATATCTAGCCAACATATTAGCTTCTAAAGAAGTAACACATACTTTATTCTGTAGTTCAATGTGCAAAGGTAACAGTAATTTTAAATATACAGTACAATGTTACTCCTTGTCACTAATGAAATATTAAGTGCAGTCCATCTTGTTTGTTTATTTATTTATTTATTTGTTTGTTTATTTATTTTTGGTTTTTTAAGACAGGGTTTCTCTGTGTAGCTTTGGAGCCTATCCTGGCACTATGGAGACCAGGCTGGCCTTGAACTAACAGTGATCCACCTGCCTCTGCCTTCCGAGTGCTGGGATTAAAGGCGTGCACCACCAACACCCGGCTTTGAAATTATCCCCCCCCCCCTTTTTTGGTTTTTCCGAGACAGAGTTTCTCTGTGTAGCTTTGGAGCCTATCCTGGCACTCACTCTGGAGACCAGGCTGGCCTCAAACTCACAGAGATCCCCCTAAGTGCAGTCCATCATGTAAACAGTTGGGCTTCATACTCTCATCCATCTCATTTATTTATATGTAGCTACCTCAAAGACGATAGTAATCACATATATTTGAAAGAGTCTGCCAGACAATCTAACATGTAGTTTTTCTTTTCAACTCAAAGTATGTCACTGAATTTGAAAACAACTATGGAAGGACTCAAGTGACAGAAATGCATATAAACCAAAGAGAAAATGATGAAAATCTTTTCATTTCCATTGCTTACATATGTTTCTGTCTCCTCTTCAAATCTACACAAATAACTGCTATATCTCCTCTCCAACATATGTCACAAAGGTCACCAGAAAATGAATGTCATCATCCTGCAACCTTTCCCTCTGGAGTTTCCCAAGTACAACATGTCTAACACAACATCACTAAATGTTTTTCCAAAGTGAGCAAAACTCCTTAGTAACTCTTTCCCTCATACCATTATTTACACAAATGTTAGAATACAAAGCCAAGAGCCTGTAAGGAAAAGGGCAGGAATGCACACCGTGGGAGACCCAACTCCTCCCTGAGAAGAGGAAGAAATCCCACATTAGCAGTTTACTGGCTGGATGTGAAGGACAGTGGAGGACGTGGTTGTCACTGTCCACATACAGAGCGGGTGTTTTGTTCTGGCTAACTATAAAGAAATATGCGACACGCAGTTGAACCTGTTGTGTAAACCCAGCAAGTCATTCGAGCTGCATAGAAAGAAAAACATAAATCATGTAGGGCTGCATCAGTCACAATTGCAGAGTAGAAAAACGGGAAAATTATAGAAGTCTCAGCACAGATGGAAAGGAGCAGAGACTGGAAAAATTAGGAAAAAAACAGAAGCAAGCACCATGAGGTCACAACAGAAACTAACAAATATTAATATCCTAAGGTAATGAATGTTCTCTGCAAATAAGCAAGGCAGAGAAGACAATTTTTCCTCACACAACAAGTAAAAACAAGTATCTAATCTCCAAAACTTAATGACTTCAATAAAAGTGTGTTATCGAGAAAAGTATTAAATTCCATGTCAAACAGAGTCAACAGAACTTCTCAACCACATGAAAATTAGCAAATGTCAATTGGATGAATTCCGGTCTGCTTGCTGGTGCTAAGTCAGATGACAGGAACCACAAAAAGTATTTAGTGCAATCATAAATTATTTTTGTAAAGTATTTTGTGACATGGCTCTAAATTAGCCTAGGCTGACCTTAAACTCTCTAAGCAGAGGGTAGGTAACCTTGCACCCCTGATTTTCTTCTTCCACCTTCCAGATGCAGATGGCAATGTTCATGACCTCACAGGACATTCTTCAAACATGCTTCAATCAGGTGTGTTTACTTTTGGCGATACATACGTGAGTGTAACGTGAGTATTTTTGGGCTGGCAGGTCCCTCCGCCTTTCTCTGCCCCAATGAAGCACACAGACACTATATTAATTATGAAACTGTTGGCCACTGTCTATGGCTTCTTACTGGCTATCTCTGCCTAAATTATTAACCCACTTCTAATAATCTAAGTATTTACACCATAGAAAGGGTCTGGACCTGTTACTCCTCTGACCTCCTACATGGCGACACACTGTGTCTATGTTTCCCAGAATCCTCCATCTCTCCTAGTCCCAGCTATCTTGCTTCCCTATTGGCTATGAATAAACTTCACTTAACCTGTACTGAGTCTAGTGAATCTTGATTCCCATCAATACATGAGGGATTTAAAAGTTATAATGAGCATGCTGCTGCATCACCTTTACATTGTAAGAAAACAGCTTTGATGCACAAAGCAGGGAAAACATAGTTATTTTCCTACAGATCAGTGACATTATCTAAGAAGTATCTGTACATTAATTACAGTTACAAAATCCACAGAGAATTCTGGTATGTAAAACAAGGTGAGTTAAAGACCATGTTTTTCATACAAAACTTAGAAATAAAACATCACACACTAAAAGTAACCAGACCCAAAGCTGGTACACCCCAGTGAACTTCTTTGCAGTTAGAACAGCAGATTGGAACTGACACTGTGGAGCTTCTCATTCATTTACTAATTTGAATAGAAAAGCTTATTCAAATTTGTTTTGTAAAAAGTACCTTGCTCCTTTGTTGTTGTTCTTTTGTTTTTTAGGTTTTTGAGACAGGGTTTCTCTGGGTAGCCCTGGCTGTCCCGGAACTCTTTTGTAGATGAGGCTGGCCTCAAACTCAGGGATCCACCTGCCTCTGTCTCCCAGGTGCTGGGATTAAAGGCATGTGCCACCACTGCCTAGCTAAGAAATACCATGTTTCATTTGAGTAGTCTTCAATGCCATAAGCCAGTCTCTAGCACATAGACACTTGGTTTTATTGAAGCGTGACAAAATTGGAAACAGCACAAAAGACAGGGCACGGAGCCCACTGTGCAAAAATTGCAGGACCCTGAGTGAAATCCCCATTTCACTTTTTGACACAGTACAAACACTTGGGTAAACCCTTCCAGAAGAACTGCTCAGGGAGAAGCATGGAACCCAAATACCACATTCGGTGACAGTTTTAGGGAGATTAGACACTAGACAGTGGACAACGACAGAAGAAAAGCCTGTGACGCAGAGAGCAAAATAAACAGCTTGCTGTGTGTGCAGGGCGATTTCTCCTTCCCAGAGAAACTCAAGCACCTATGTCCCTTTGCTAGCAATCCCTAGACACACTAACATCCTCACATCAACTCATTCGGTGAATCTGAAAAGGAGTCCAAACCAGTGACATCATAATCCCAGTGGAACTGGATGAAGTATTATTATCCTCTAGTATTTTTTCACCCTACAGTTTAGGATCAGTAATTTGTTTTTGCAAAACTCGGATCTCTCCCTTTAGGGGATTATTATGGCTCTACGTGGAGTGTCAGTCTCAGGAGTCAGGTCACAGTGGTGTGTCAGTCTCAGGAGTCAGGTCACAGTGGTGATCGCGAAGGACTCCTGTTCAAAATAGCAGTTAGTGAACCTAACGATGCATTCCAGAGACAACCAGATTAACACCCCATAGGCCACATCTCTCGCGCAAAACTCTCCGTCCTTGGAAACTAGTTAACTTGGTGAACTCCTATCATCTCTAACAATACAAGGCCGACTGTGATAAGGTCCAGGAGGGGCCAGACCTCCGTTTGCCCCAGGGCTCCTGAGAAAACTGACCACAGCCGGGTAAGCGTGGGTCTAGCTGGTGATAAAATGCGTCCCTGGCTCACCTGGGGGTGTGTGCGCCCACCGGCCCCTCCTGGTGCAGCTCTCAGCGACCCGCCCTGCCTGAGCAATCCTGGGCCATGCTGGAAGTTGCACACTAATTCCTCCCCTGCCAAGCCAGCCGCGATAACTGCAGCTCACGGTGGACCCGGGCAGCTGCCCCCGGCTCGCACAGCGTTGGCTTCCAGCGCCTCCCGCAAGCCCTGTCTCGAGCCCCAGTGGGCGTCCGGACGCTGGGGCCCAGCCTAGGTCGGGTCTTCCCGTCACGCGCTCGCCCCAAGCCGAACTCGCCCATCCCGCTCGGTCCCTCCGAACTGCAGAGCAGCGCTGCACCCTGCACCAACCTCCATGTCACAGACACAAGCCGAGCGCCGAGCGGGACCCGGTGATCGTCCAACTTTGCTGGGAGACGCGCTGGTGCAGACGCAATGCGGAAGTGCCCTGGCCACAATGACTCCCGGCGGAGCGAAACGGCGGAAGACTACGTTTCCCACAAGTCTGTGCGGAGACCTGGGCGCCGCCGGAAACGCGGTCTGGGGATTGATGTATCTTCTGCTTTTCTTAGCTCACGCCAGTGAGGAGTGGAGGAAACAAGAAGCCTTGAGCTCCAACAGCCACGAGGAGTCGGGCTGTTTTTCTGTTTTGTTTTAATTCCCGGTTTCATTTCGGGAGATGTTTGAGTGTGAGTCCAGCCTTTGACAGTGATGTTTATTAGGGGTTTGCAATTTACTTCTGGCCGGTATGTGGCTCAAAGTCTGCTTATTATGGAATCTTACTTCCAGGTGTAAAGTTCACATTGACTCCATTCTACTTTAAAATAACTCAGCAAAATAAACACATAAACACAAATAAATAAACTACACAGAGTTACATTTTATGTAGATATAGACTGGAAAATCTGCCATAGAAAAATATTAAACAAATTAATTCAACAGATGTACCTTAAGTAGGAAGAACCTAACCTTTTCTGTGTTTAAGATAGATTTTCATACAGCCCCGGTGGAGCTCAAACTCTGTGTAGTTGAATATCTTGCATTATTGAAATCCCGGCCTCTAATCTCTAATCGTTGATATTATGAACCAGCAACACCGTATCAGGATATCATAACTTTCTCTATTTGGAGATAGTTGTGAGCTGCCATGTGGATACTAGGAATTGAACCGGGGCCCTCTGGATGAGCAGTCAGTGCTCTTAACCACTGAGCCTTCTCTCCAGCCACTATGTTTCTATGCTTGTTTAAGACATTGTACTTTTAGAGCTCATTTTTAAAAGGTTATGTAAAGTTTTAGTCTTTGAAAGTTATTTAGGGTATTAAAGAAATACAGATTAGTAGTCATCTATAATAATCGAACTTATAGTCATGTTAGGTATGTTTTCAAGGTCATACAGATATTTTAGATAGGTGACCTTCAAACACTTCAAAGACCTACAGAACATGACATTTAAAATGTTTTAATAACAGAAAGCTTTTTTTGACAGTGAGACTTGTCTGCTCGTGGCAGCACCAGTTTGCTTCAAAGAAGATGGGCATCAAAGAAACTCCATATAGAGTTTGTTTCTTTATGGCAAAAGCCAGCCATTTGGGCAAAGAAAATGCCGTTGTCTCAGTTGCTGATAGTTTATTGTCCAAACTGGACTAGCGGGATGCAAATGAGTAGTTGTTCAGGAAGGACATGCTCCAGCAATTTCCAGCAAGACCACATTGGGTGCCAGATGATAAATGATCTCTTTACCATTTATTATATAGCAAAATCTGTGCACAAATATTAACGGATAAATGGTGAACCTGGACAGAGTCACAAGCCACCCCTTACACCCACCTTTGCTCATTCCTTACTTAAAAAGGCTACCTCTTCCTTGGCCACATCCATCCCCAATGAAAACCCTGCCTCTTGGATCAAAAGGCTCTTCTCAGTTGGCTATCACACCAGCGACAGAATTCCCATAGCACACATTGAAGAAACTCTATATGGAGTTTGCCTTCATTGTGGCATGGTTAGCCACTGGTCAAAGAAACTCTTTTTGCCTTGGCTCCTGACAGGGTGGTGCACAAACTGGACAAGCGAGATACACAAATAAAAGACTGTCAAGCTTTGCCAAGAGAAGGCTTCATAGATCAATCTGTCAGATATTCTAGGCCTATATGCCAAAGATGTGGATGCAGAATCTTGTGAAAACTGCAACAGAAGCATTCTGAGAGGCTGGATCACCTGGGCTACTTGTTTTCATTAATGTCTGGTCCTAAAAACACAATTTTTTAAAAAAATTTATGTATTAGTTCTAGTTAGGGAACAAGCTTGTTTCACATGTAAGTCCCTTCTCCCTCTCCCTCTCCCTCTCCCTCCCCTCACCCCCATCCCTCCTCCCCCACCCCCAACCTACCCCCCACCCCATCCACCCACCACTTGTCTTCTTTTCACAAGTCACTTAAAGATGATTTTTTTGTTTTATGTTTGAGCAGTTAAAAACCATCTGTTAACTTTGTGAATTTTTTTGGACTGTGTAAGCAAACTTGTATCCATGCCATATGAAAGGATCTTGTGTAATAATAAGTCATGAGACAGCAAGATTTATCATGACTCATCCAGTCTCAGGGCTGTTCCCATAGTAGAGGGATAGGATCACCTGTCCTATAGTCTTTCTTAGTTTCCCTTTTCATGTCTGCAGCCAATATTTTCAGGTGATCACCGCAATCAAATCTGATCTTCTTTAATTTTGAAGAGAGCCATTGCTTTATGTTTTCTGTGGAAACAAATGCATAACCTCTCCCCCAACATTATATATTTTCTGACTTCCATTTTGAAATTAAGGCATTCTTAAAATATATAGGTTGTTTTAATTTAGCAGTTTCCACAATCCAATGTCTCTCAGCACCTATTTTTTTGTATATTAGCATTTAAAAAATTCAAAGTCAATGAAGTGCCATATAGGATCCAGATGCCCTGTATAGTTCCCATCTTTATGTAGCTTATTCTTTTTATGTTACTTTATTCTTCCTTTAAAGACTTTCTTATTTTTAAACTTTTTTTTTTCTGTGACAGTTCATACCCATTTTCATTTCTTCCTTTAGCATCTAAGCACATTTTCAAATATACTATTGCCTTTTTAAAGTTTTCTGTGTTTGGACCTCACTTCACTAAGTGCAGCATTTTCTGAACATGTGAGACAAATCTTGAACTGCCACCCTGAGGCTCAGCTTAGCACATGGCACTGCCACATGGTGCTGGTGGCTGGCTCAGGCCCACCCCGGCCCCACGGCCCCCAGCCAGTAGCCCCATCTCTGTATGCTTAGCACTGGTCCACCTGAGAGACTGTAGGACTCAGAAGCTGTATCCAGCTCCTTGTCCAGAACTTTTCTTAGCTTTCTCAGGCTCTGTGTTTGGATATTCAAGGCAGCACATGTGGCAGTATGTAGCAGCACTTTTCTTTGGGCAGACAGTGCACAAATAGTAGACTTACTAATTATGAAACTCAATTTTAGTATTGGCTTGTTCTTATCTAGTTCTTATAACTTAAATTAACCCATATATATATATATATATATTTAAATCTGTGTTCTGTCACACGACTCGTCACCTCATCTTTTCATATTGCCCCTCCTGCTTCCTCTGCGTCTGGCTGGCAACTCTGGCTTTCTTCTCAGTGTCCTCTCTGTACCCCGAAGTCCTGCCTAACCTCTTCCTGCCTAGTTATTGGCCATTCAGCTCTTCATTAAACCAACCAGAAGGCGCCCTGGCAAAGTCACCCCTTCATAGCACAAACAAATATTCTGCAAAGAGAAATTCCCTGGTGTGACTACCCAGAACACTTACCAAGCTAATGCATTAGTAGCTGCTGGCTCACCTCTTTTGAGGAACAATGAGTTTTGTGGTCCTATACATAATGCTTTTAAAACATTTTAAAACTGCATTTCATATACCATGTGTGTGTCTGCTGTCCGCAGATGCCAGTAAAGGGCATTTGACAACCTGGAACTGGAGTTACAGATGGTTGTGGGCCTCCGTGTGCAGCTGGGAATCCATTCTGAACCCTCCTGCAGAGTGCCAAGTGCTCCTGTCCACTTAGACATCTCAGTACCACTTAAAATGTTTGTGGAAAAAAAGGAAAACAATGATTCTAGTTGGTTGCTTCTACCATTTCTGGAACATGTGAGAAAGGAAAAAGCTCTGAGTGAGAAAACTAATTGGCTCCAGATTCACATACACATATAGCATAGTGGGTCAGGGGACAGAGTTGTTCCAAAGTCACTGAACACACTGATGGGAGATGTCCTTCTGTATATGTGTTTCTCTGATTGGTTGATGAAGAAAACACTGTTTGGCCAATAGAGGAAGGAAGATAGGTGGGACTAAGGATGAGGAGAATTCTGGTAGGCAGGGAAAGCCTGCCAGGGGACTGGGAGGCTAGGACGTGCCTGGCATTCTCTGGTAAGATAAGAACACATGGAAAATACTTAGATTAATAGAAATGGGTTAATAATTAAGACAGAGCTAGCCACCAAGAAGCCCTAGCCATCGGTCAACAATTTTATAATTTATACAAGTCTTTGTGTGCTCATTTGGGGTTGAAGCGGCAGTGGGACCTGGCAGGACAGGAGAAAATCAAGCAACAACACACTAAAAGAAAAAAAAACCTACACTCTGACATTTCCTTATAAAGAACCTCCCACAATTCCCCTGAGCTTTCTACCTGTCTCCCCCTCCCCGCACCATGTATCCATTATTCTATGTAAGGAATGTTGGTGTGAGCTGTGTTACAATTCTATCCACTTCTCCCTGGTGTTCCATAATGCAGGCAAGTCTTCACCCCAAGTATGCTCTGAGTTCATGTGTACTCCCCCTGCTCCTCTCCTAGCTGGAGGGACACAGCTCCTGGAATGTGTGTATACTCACTCCTAGCCCATCATCCGTTGCAGGATTTCTCCTCACATTAGATTTGGTTTCTCCTGCTCAATTTCCATACCCACAGCCATCTCTAAACCTGACACTGCCCCTATGTCACATTTTTTTTTCAACTATCAAGGAAGCGTATTGGGATTGAACTTCCCTCAGTTCCCCCAACTCAGGACACAGAAGTGATTCTTGCTTGAATATAAAGGTATCAGAAATCTGCTGCTGAGAATATAAAATCAGGTCATTGGAATAATGACACTAGACTGGCACTTTTGGAATAAATAGTCCTCCTGCTTTTTCTTTGGATATTTTTACTATTGTACTGCTCGTACCTGAGACCAAAGTGAGTCAGAAGAGCTCATGCTCAAGTGACAGATGACAGTCCACAAGGAAGCTATCACTATTCCTGAAATTCATTAGTGGGATCATTACACTTACTTTTTTTCATCACTTAAACAACTCATGCTTCCTTCCTCACTCTTTCCTCCTATGTAATGATTGAGCCTACTGTAGAGTGGCTATTTGATGACATAAATGCCAGCATCTCTATTGTGTTAGGTACAGCAGATGAATTATGCACTCTTTGTGGTAAACAGCATCACCAGAAGGGTGGCATTCAGAATCCTCTGGAGTCTGGGAACCATCAGCACCTTTGTAGAAGCCCTCATTAGTAAAAGATGTGGTCTTGTGACTGTTTCTGGTTATTTGTGTTTGGTGACAATTTAACAGACTTGTAAACATTCTAAAAATGAAATGCATATAAGTGTCATTCCTCTTTCCATAATGCACAGGTGGTCACACTCAGTTGCCCAGCGTACATGCAGTAGATATTTTCACTGGCAATAACGTTTATGTTTGCATGTTTATTGGACACATGAAACCCAAAAGAAAAGTCACAAGTCTGTATAAATGTGAAGGTGGGACAGTAAAAGCTAATGCAAAAAAATAAATGCAATAAAGGTACAATTAATTCTCAAAAAACTATAATTCTTTTTTATTCTGGTCTCACATACCCCAGATTTGGTTGAAATTTCCTGTGAAATACTGATAACCTTGTACTCCCAATCTTCCGGCCTCTGTGCCTCCTAAATGCAGCAGGATGTTAAGTTAGCATCACCGCACTGACTTTCTATAATATGCGGTATGTCTTGGCTTTCTTGTTGCTCTGGTCAGTTGTTTGACAAGCCATTGAGGGAAGGAGGGTGATTCTAACCATAGTTTGCAGCTGTAGTCCATCTTGGCAAGGTGAGCTCCAGGTAGCACTCTACCCAAAAGGAACAGAGACATGAATGGAAATGTTTGTTCATGTTTCTTTCCTGTTTATTCTAAACATAAATCAGTCTAAAAGGGCATGTCATGAAGTGTGTGGCTGGCATTTAAGAAGGACCTGCACACCCTGACCAGTCTGGATAGTATAGAAATGCAGACTGCAGGGCACATATCAATAGGCCAGTGTGATCCTGATATAGGCCAGCATGATCTGGGCATAGGTCAGTGTGATCCAGGCATAGGACAGCTTGATCCAGGCATAGGCCAGTGTGATCCAGGCATAGGACAGCTTGATCCAGGCATAGGCCAGTGTGATCCAGGCTACCACCCTGTCCAGATTCCTTAGATAATGCTGGGCTGATTGAGTGTGACAACTGAATCTAACTAGCACACCTTCATTTGCAATTTTGCCACAAATGTGATTTTTTTATATTTAGAAATAACAGAAGTATTCTTTAAGCACTTACTATACTATTTCTGTAGAGTTGCTCTCCTGTTTGAAGTCTCTGAGGATGCTTATTTATGGTATAAAAAAAAAACGAGGAAAGAGTTGGCCCCATTGTTTGCTTTTGTAGGGCTCATTACTGGTATGAATACTCTGATGCTTATATAGGCAAGATAAAGCTAAATGCCTGGCCATATCATGCACACACACACACACACACACACACACACACACACACACGTGTGTGTGTGTGTGTGTGTGTGTGTGTGTGTGTGTGTGTGTGTCGTTTATCTCAAGTGGGTATTAGCTGAGATTGAAGAGCAAAGATTGACACAATCCCTGTCTTTGTAGGTGTAGTGCTCAGTATGAATACTTTTAGGTGTAGTGCTCAGTATGAATACTTTTGTGATGTGTAAATTATGGAAACCTTTGGCAGCCTTGTCATCCCCTTCACATTCGGATTGTTTCTCTCTGGTCTGAACGTTACCGATGGCACACAGTGTAGACCAAGTGGCACAGCACTCTCCACACTCGTCTCTTGTGCATGTGCACAGCTTCACTCCACTATGCATTCATCCGTTGAGGGCAGTCTTTCCAAACACTTTGCCTATTTCCACATGATCCAAGTCTTCTCTTCAGAATGAATTCTTTGATGGTTCTTTTTTAAAAAAAATATTTTATTTTGGTTTTTCGAGACAGGGTTTCTCTGTAGCTTTTTTGGAGGCTGTCCTGGAACTCTGTAGACCAGACTGGCCTCAAATTCACAGAGAGTGAATGGTATTTAAGGTGTGAGCCACCACCATCCGGCTTCTTTGATGTTTCTTAAGGGCTGTAGAGGAATAATACACTTTGTCACACTGTTCACATTTGCAGGGTTTTCCGCAGTATGAACTACCTTGTGTGGAGTAAGGATTCCAGGGTTGCTAAAGGCTTTGCCACATTCCCCACACTTGTACGGGTATTCTCCAGAAGGGGTCATTTGATGACTTTTAAGGTATGAGGAACAGGAAAAACAGTTGTCACACATCTCACATTTGTAGGGTTTCTCTACAGAATGAATCCTTTGATGACTTTTAAGGTATGAAGGATGGGCAAATGCCTTGCCATACTCTTCACACCTGTGTGATTTCTGTCCAGTGTGAATTTGTTGGTGATGTTGAAGACCTGTTGATCTACGGAAAGCTTTGAGGCATTTCTCACACTTGTAGGGTTTCTCTCCGGTATTAATTACTTTATGTTGATTAAGCAATGAAGAGTAATAAAATGCTTTGCCACATTCTTCACACTTGCAGTGTTTCTTTCTGGAATGAATGCTTCAGTTTTCTCTAAGCAATGAAGAAGAGAAAAAGGCTTTGCCACATTCTTCACACTTGTAGGGTTTCTCTCTGGGATGAATTCTTTGATGTTGCTTAAGCAACGAAGTATAAAAAAATACTTTGACACATTCTTTACACATGTAGGGTTTATTTCTGGAATGGATATTTTGATGCTGCGTAAGTAATGAAGGAAGGTAAAGGGCTTTGCCACATTCTTCACACTTGTAGGGTTTCTCTCCAGAATGAATTATTTGATGTCGCTTAAGCAACAAATGACAGGAAAATGCTTTGCCACAGTCCTTACATTTGTAGAGGTTCTCTTCAGAATGGAATCTTTAAGGAGAGATGGATGATAAAACACTGCCACATTCCCGACACTGGGAGAGGTTTTTTTTTTTTTTAATGAATTCTTTGATGTTTCTTTAGGAATGAAAGACAGGAATACACTTTGCCACATTTTTCACACAAGTAGAATTTCTCTCCAGAACAAATCATTTGATATTCCTTAAGCAATGACGGGTACAAATATGCTTTGTTATATTCTTTATACTTCTGGGCTTTTTCTCCAGTATGAATTTTCAAGTATGTATAAAGTGTTGAGTTGCAACTAAAGTCCTTATCACATTCTTCACACTTGCAGGATTTCTCTCCAGAGAAAATTAAGGAGTATTTCGCATCAAAGGCCTTGCCATATTCTTTACTTGTATAGGGGTTTATTCCTGGTGAGTAAAAGAATAAAAACTTAACATTCTTTACTATGCTTGCCATTAAAATAGAAACCTATATTTATACTTACACTTTTCTATAGGAATTAAAAACTACAGTATTGTTTTATGCCTATACTCACTGCATTGTAATTCAGAAAACAGAGGTGGAAACAAAATCCCACTAAAATAAGGATTGGAAGACAACATAGAATATAGAAATAATGGGATATTATTCAAAGTTAAATAGCTAAATAAGTTGTATCATGGAAAATAGTGAAAACTCTCAAGGGCATTACGCTGACAGAAATAAGTACATTAAACAAATACAGAAAATGTATGGCCACATAAAGGTAAAAGTAGACATACATGTAAAACAGCAAGTTAGTGGTAATTGTATAAAAGTGGACCAGTGTGGACATGCATAAGAGCTATGCCATATCAAAAGCAGGTTGTATGTAACACTCTTTAATAATTTACTTCGAGGATTGAAGACTGTATTTTATGTTTTATTTTTATCAGCAAAAACAAAAAGTACACGAAACATCTCAAATTATGAATGATAATTAAAGCTCACCATGAATGAGAACTTTTGCTAAAGGCAACATAATTGCCAATGCACAGATGACAAAATTCCCATTTCTAAGAATTATTCATTTACAACATTAAAAACTATTGAGTAGTCAATAAAGAGAGAAAATGTACAAGGCATAATAAAAACACAAGTCTCCTTGTGATGATTTTTTTCTTTCTTGGGTTTTCTGTCTTGGGTTTTCAAGACAGGATCTATCTGTGCAGCCTTGGCTTATCCTGGAACTCTCTGTAGACCATGCTGGCCTTGAACTCACAAAGAACTACCTGCGTCTCCCTCCCAAGTGCTGGCATTAAAGGCATGCACCACCACTGCCAGGTCTTCCCTGTGGTGGTTCAAATGAGAATGGTCCCTATAGGTTCATATATTTGCTTGCTTAGTCTCTACTTGGTGATCTGTTTAAGAATGGATCATGATGAAAAGTTACCTTGTTGAAGGAGTGGTGTTACTGAGAGTGGGCTTTCAAAAGATACCAAAGCCCATGCCTGGTCCTGTCTCCCCCTCTCACTGCCTGATGCCTATGGATCAGGATGCAGCTCTCAGTTACTTCTCCCCCATCATGTCCACGGTCCTACATACCTGCTGCCATGCTCTCCACCATGATGATAATGGACTTGAACTCTGTAACTGTAAGCAACTTCCCCAATTGAATGCTTTCTTCTATAAGTTGCCTTGGTTTTGGTGTCTCTTCACAGCAGTAGAACAGCAAATAAGACCCTCATATTTAAACACGAAGTAGAAATGTACAGTCCTGTTGGCCACAGAACTAGATCTCATTGATTTTTTTTAAATCTCATACTGTCCCTGAACTGTTTGCCATTGGATGCTCCATCCACAAAAATATAAAGGATACATGTAGACAAATGATTACAGGCAGTCACTCTACAGAAAATAGAAGTCTTATTGAGGAAAAAAGAATATGGATGTAAAAAGATATTCTAAAAGCTTATTGATGAACTACTAAAAACACATTTCTAGATGTGTAATTTTCATCGATGACTATGTATCCATAAAGTACAAGCATTGCCAACCATTAGTACTGTGTGTATGATAGAAAAGATTATGAAATTTTCTGAGTTAGGGTTTCACGGTGCAATAGAACACCGTGACTAAAGGTAACTTAGGGAGGAGAGAAAGCATTACAACTTTCAGGCCAAACTCCATTCCAAGGGGAGTCAGGACAGGGACTGAAGCAGACATTTGGAGGCAGTAACATAAGCAGAAGCCTTGAAGAATCACTGCTCACTGGCTTTCTACACACAGCTTGCTCACCCTGCTTTCTCATACAGTTCAGGTCCCCCGGCTCAGGATGGCACCACACACAGTGGGCTGAACCTCCCACATCAATTATTTATCAAGAAAATGCCCTACAGACTTGCTCTCAATAGAAGTTCCTCTCCCCAGGTAACTATAGCTTGTCTCAAGCTGCAAAAAAAAAAAAAAAAAAAAAAAGGTAAAAGAAAAGAAGACGAATTATAGTCATTCACTAAGAAGTCTGATGAGATGACTCTGGTTAACATGAATGTAAGTGATATTAAAGAAACTTATGTGTGAAGTTGTTGTATTACAATGACGTCACACATAGGTCTTTAGAAATGCATATAAATCTACAGAGGAGTAGCAAACGATGAAGCCAGTTACAAGTGGTCTCAGCTGAAGACCTTTTTGCTCTCACTGTAAATGAAGCAGAGCTTACTACAAAGCTTAGACTCTTAAAGTACGAGAAACATCTGACATGTGACCTTCTAGAGAGAAAGAATTACACAGGGGGTCATCTAAAAGGTGTTTTTCCATCAGAACATAATGGCTCCACACACACATGGTAAAGCCTGGCTCCCTGCCTGATGGGACCTCCCACCTGTTCACTGCTCTTCCCCCATTCCTACACACCTGGATATATGGCAGGCACTGCTTGTCTCATCCCATTCCAGGGTGCGTGGTTTTGCTCCAGAAATGTGATCAAGTATGGTTTAGAGACAGCAAGACCTGTTTGTAGGAAAGAGGAACATGATTGTGTGTTCTCCTGGGAATTAAAAGTTCTATTCCAGTATTGTGTTTATAAGGGAAGAGACAATATAATAAATGGTTGTAGAAAATGAGCTCTTTATATGTTTCCTGACAGACATGTTAGAATACTTAGAGGGAATTCACAGTCTGTAGATCACTTACAAGGAAAAACATGAAAGTGGGGGGTGAAACATTCTTTTTAATGTGTGCTCTATGCCTTATGCCACCGAATTTCTATCACTGTCCCTACAGTGAAAGATGTATCTTTCCAAAACAGATGGGTTAGAAACATATGAAATACAAAATGTTGTTTCTTAGCTATACCAAAATCTCCAAAATTTTCTCTTTAAAAGAAAGCCTGTAAACTTGATTGTTGGAGAGCCTATGCTCACATGAGGTGTTATACAGAGGTATTCTACAGCAAGTTAAGATGCTCAGCCTAGATCCTGGGGGTGGGGTGGGGGGGCTTGGTCCTGCCCCCAAATGATGTGACAGACTTTGATGATTCACCATAAGAGGCCTCACCCTCTCTGAGGAGTGGATGAGGGATGGGTTGGGGAGAAGGTAGGGAAAGTGGGAGGACAGGGGGGAAAGGGAACTGAGATTGGCATTCCAATAAGATTGTTTAAAAAACAGTGTTCACTATGGATGAGATCCTCACCTAGGAGCACAAGATTGCCATAATTCTCCAACATCACATCCCTGTACAGACTCCACTGAGCAGGCTCCAGGCATTTCTTCTCTTCTGGAGAGAACTCAATGGCCACATCCCTGAAGGAGAGCAGTTTCTGAAATAAAGGTAAATAATACCACACATTACATTAATGGTGGCCATTACTAATATTATAAATGCCAGTGGCCATCATGTGTCTGTAGACAGAACTCTAAAGTTTGCCCAAGATGAAAGGAGACCTAGAAGTGTTTCTGATGCAATTTTGTAAAATTCCTAAGATACTCATAACCTGGCCACATAACCTTATACACTTCCAATCTTTAAGGAAAGGGAATGAGAAAAGATTCTAGAAGCAAATGTGGGCATTACGCTTTTAAGATAAATAAAATGTGAAACCAGGGCTGGAGAGATGGTGCCATGGTTAAGACCACTGGTTGCTCTTCCAAAAGACCTAGGTTCAGTTCCCAGTGCCAGTAACTCACAACTCTCTATAACTCCAGTCCAGGGGATCTGACACCCTCACACAGATGTACATGAAAGCAAAACATCAATGTACACAAATAAAAATAAATAAAATAAAAACATAATATTAAAAATGTTAAACAGCCAGGCATTGGTGGCACACACCTTTAATTCCAGCAGAGGCTGATGGATCTCTTCAAGTTTGAGGCCAGCCTGGTCTACAGAGCCATTGCCAGGATAAGCTCCAAAGATACACAAAGAAACTCTGACATTTAGTGTCACAGGTTTACATGATACACCATATGTTATATGCATTTCTCACAGAAGAAAGTTAGAGTGAGAAGAGAGTTCCCAACTGCCAAAATACACACCACTAAATATGAAATGAGATTCTGATACAGGGGCTCTGGGCTGAGGCCTGGTTTCTTGAGCATGTATAGAGTTCAGTATTGGTGCAGTGACAGTGTACCAAGAGATAGGAATTTGAGGAGTCAATAGGTAGAATACTAAAGGAAGAACTCATGAGCAAAATAGAATCAAGTATTTTAACAAATTACTTTATTAAATTATCAAATATAGTAATGCAAGTACTCTGGTGAATATTTAAGATATTTTCAATTCCTTTTTACAAGTTGGAAGCTAAGCCAGGTGGGGCCTTAACCTGAGAGAGCCAATCCTTTTATTTAATTTGGATCTGGCCTCTCTTTACTATTCTCATCTGTGTCAGTTCAAGCCTTAGTTCCAACCTTAAATTTCTAACGGTATGTTTAGTAATTCCTTTTGCCCTGCTTGCTCTTATTCATTTTAGAAACATATTAAGAGTGATTGTTAAGAGCCACACAGCAGAGTTAATGTTAGGCTGTCTTGAAATATCCTGTCAGATCTACAAGGTTGACCCCAACTAACAATCTAAGCAATAGTTGAGAGGCTACCTTAAATGCCCTTCTCCAATAATGAGATTAAAGACTACCTTATATGCCATCCTAGAGCCTTCATCCAGTAACTGCTGAAAGCAGAAGTAGACACCTACAGCTAAACACTGAGCTGAACTCTGGAATCCAGATGCAGAGAGGGAGGAGTGATGAGGAAAGGGGTCAAGACCAGGCTGGATAAACCCACAGAAACAGCTGACCTGAACAAAGGGTTGCTCATGGACCCCAGACTGATAGCTGGGAAACCAGCATAGGACTGTTCCAGACTCTCTGAATGAGGAGGTCAGTTTGGAGGTCTGGTTAATCTATGGGGCCTCTAGTAGTGGATCAGTATTTATCGCTAGCATACGAATGGACTTTGGGAGCCCACTCCACATAGAGAGATTGCCTCTCAGCCTAGACACATGGGAGAGGGTCTAGGCCCTGCTTCAAATGATATGACAAACATTGAAGATTCCCCATGGAAGGCCTCACCCTCCCTAGGGAGCAGAAAGGGGATGGGATGGGGACCAGTTGGGGGCAAGGGAGGAGGTGAGGGAGAGGGAACTGGGATTGACACATAAAATAAGCTTGTTGCTAATTTAAATAAAAATTACTTTAAAAAAGAGAAATATTCTCTGTCAAGGAAATTAATCCAATATTTTCCAATTTAGCCTCAAGCAAAGTTTTAAACAAGGCCTGAAAGCAGCCACATTCTTTGCCAAAATACCTAAGAATGGTCTCCAGAGGAGTTGCTACTATCCCCCAGTGACAATTCTTCAGCTGTGCCTTCACAGTCCACTTTGTTTTCCTTACCAGTTTTCCAAACTCTAAATATGGTGCATTAAGCTCTGTTTACAGTCTTCAAACTGTTTTCCTAGTCCAAAGTCCCAAGGCCTTCCACATTCCTCCCTAGATGCTCAAGCTGTCACAGCAGTAGCTCATTCCCTCATACAAACCTCTATCTTAGTGACTTTTCCTTTCTATAACAATGGCCATGACAAAGACAACTTATAAAGAAAGGATTTAATTTGGAACTTATGGTTTCAGAGTGTTAGAGTAAATGATGCTGGGGCAAAGGCATGAACAGGTATGATCATCCATCCATCTTGATCCATAAGTAAGAAGCAGAGAGAATCACAGAGAAAGACAGAAACATGGCAAGTGGCATACAGACAGACAGAAATGGAGAGAGAGAGAGAGAGAGAGAGAGAGAGAGAGAGAGAGAACTGGGAACCAAGGATTCAAATATATAACTCCCAAGAGGGTGTTCTCATTCATATGAGAATGATCTCAAGGCGGATTCAGACAAACAAAAAGCCAGGGAAATCAATGCTTGGGTGAGGAAGAACATTAAAAACCAACCACGCAATAAAGCATTACAAGCACAAATGATAGAGCTGAAAACTCCACACTGAATGGCAAACATTAAAGGTACAACAGCAAACTGGAATGATTTCTGATCATTCAAGGGCTCCTCGACAATAAATATGAAGGTCAGTACAGGTAAGGGAATGAAGAAAAACATTAATGAACACTGAAGGGTCTATCAGATGGCTCAGTACATAAAACCATTTCTCACCCAGCCTACAGACCTGAGGGTCACCCTTCAGTACCACAGTGAAAGGAGAGAACTGATTCTAGAATAAAAAGTCGTCCTCATACCTGCAGAGTCACACCATATTGCTCCCATATACACAAACACACAACATATAAATTAATGTATAAAGGATGGTAAAGATGTATAAAATGTATAAAAGATTTGTGGGATGATAGCACAGAGAATAAAAAAAAAGAGGAGACCAAGATGATGGTACATGTCTGCAATCTTTTTTTAATTTAAAGATTTTATTTATTATGCATACAACATTCTGCTTCCATGTATATCTACACATCAGAAGAAGGCACCAGATGTCAGAACGGATGGTTGTGAGCCACCATGTGGTTGCTGGGAATTGAACTCAGGACCTCTGGAAGAGCAGTCAGTGCTCTTAACCTCTGAGCCATCTCTCCAGCCCCATGTCTGCAATCTTAAGAGCAGGAAGGAGGATTAGATATTTATGGCCAGCTTCATTTATGTAGGGAGTTCAAGGTTAGCCTATGCTATATGAAGATGTCACTTAAAAGGACAGAATACAGTGAGAAAATGGGGGATCGCAATTTTAAGAAAGAACCTTTAAACTTATTTTGAAGAAAGCGATAGACACAAAAGTTTCAACCACATCCAGCCTAGTATTACCCAAAATACAGTCACATGAGGCTAAGCAAGTGGTTCCTCCTGGCTACTTATTGACTTATTTATTCAGTATGATACAAAGCTCATATTGGAAGAAGGAACTTCAGTGGAGAAAATAGCCTTCATTGGATTGGCCTTTATGTAAGTCTGTGGGGAACTTTCCTAGCTGTTGATTGACGTGGGAGTACCTAGATCAGAAGTGCAGAGGCTCGCACAGCTCCCTGTCCTGGAAACTACATCCTGGGTGAACTTGCATCAACTCAAACCAAGAGTCCTGGGTCGTCTATAAAATATAGAAGGGACTAGAAAACCAGCTGACTCTGGGGGTCCCGAGGAATGGATGGCAGCTGCTGTGTGACAGTGGCTCAGCTACAGAGAGCCTGCTTCCCCAGCCCAGCTGTAAAGTGAGCTCTGGGCCCAGTCTCTGGTGCAGGCAGTCAGCTGCCCCAGCCTGCCCCCATTCCCCCCCCCAG